CACTACAGAGGGAGCAGTCCCAGGAAGTGGGCCTGGGGCAGAAGAGGGAGTAGGCAGCAAGCTCAGTGTCCCAGTTACAGGCACCCCTCCCCCAGTCCCCTCTTCCTTGCATGCCACCCAGAATAACCCTGGCATCTTTCCTGGGCCAAGCTGCCAGTTCACAGGGATCCACTGCACTGCTCGCTCAGCCCCGCGCCTCTGTCCAGTTCCCAGAGCCTGCATTTCCAGAGGCACTGTCTTTGGCCCTGGACCATTCTCAACGTGGCCCTGAAAGATAGCCCTCCCCTTTCCGCTCAGGGTCCCTGGAAAGGTTTAGATTCTCGCCTTCCCAGCTCTGTGACCTTGGATGTGGATGACACTTCCCCATTTCTGGGCCCCCATCTCCTTGTCTGCTGCATCTACACCCCAGGAGGTGGCCATGCGGTCCACTGTGTGACGCAGGGAAGCCACTGGGCACTAACAGGTGGTTCTTGTTAGACTCCCCTCGCCCCTGGTGGAGCGGCCCATGCTGCCAAGTCATCGTCTTTGCCACCACCGTCCCCATGGGCACAGACTCCAGTGTGGCCCCAAGTGTCCTGGTTTCATCTACACAGAGGGTCAGCAGGGACCCCTCTGTGAGCCGCCTCTCTCTCTCTCACACACACACACACACACGCACACACACACACGCACACACACACACACATGCTCCGAGCCTCACTCCCTGCCCCTCCCCACTACAGAAGGCCGGCACAGCCTTGTGTGGCTGCCGCGCAACCCGTTCCAGCTTCTAGGAACACACTGTCCTGTCCCGGAGACACTTGGCTTGGCCTGCCTCTTCCCCCACTCTGCTCCCCTTGGGACTCCTGTCATTGCTTATTTCATTTCATTTGGGTTCCCCATTTGAAATTAGCAAGTGGAACTGAGAGGAAATAATTCTCAGAGCCACCACACAGGGAGCCCTGCTGGTCACGCCGTCCTCAGTACAGCTTCCTCCTCTTTGCAGCTCTGTGGGTGGGGATGACACAGCTGTGGCTTGGAGATGGAAAGCCACTTCGCAAGGTGACAGCGCTCCAAGGGCCCCAGGCCAACATCCAAACCCAAGTCTTTCTTACTTTAAACCTGTAGTGTTTTATTTTGAAAAATGTAAATAGCTTTGTTGTTGTTTTTTTTTTCTGGCCCCAGTAATAAAAAGTAATACATCACACTCCTCATGTGACTAAGAGAAAAAGTGTGAGCTGCCATGAGATGGCTAGGATGTAAAGCAGTAGAAACTTACAGGTACAATCACCTTGAAAAGCAATTTTGGCAGCGTTTAGTGAAGTTGAAAATATGCATCCCCACTAATGCAACAATGCCCATTCCTGAGTATAATGCCCCTAATAGAAGTGGTCTGACGTTTGCAATAGTACCGTGTTTAATAACAAAAAAAGAAAAAAAACGGAAAGAGCAGAATCAACCTAGAAACCTATTAACAAGAGATGGATTTCAAACATTGTTATTACCATATTAAGCTGAAGTTGTATTTTCATTTTCCGCCAACTTTTGTTTCTTTGAGAGACAGTTGCTATCACATGCTGTGATGCCTGGGGCTGGGCCAGCGCCCAAGCTGGGAGCCCAGGGAGAGCCATCACCTCTGCCTGCCAGGGTGCACTTCGGCAGGAGACTGAAATTGGGAGCGGGGCCTGGATTTGAACCCAGACAGTCTGGTAGGAGCTATGGATGTCGTAACTGTGTGTTCAAATGTCCACCCTCTACATATGTAGCAGTCCTAGAGAACATTCAGGAAAATAAAATGAGGATGTTTGTTTTGGTGCCAAATTTTTCAAAAAAATTTTTTTTTTAAGATTTATTTATTTTTATTGGAAAGTCAGATTTACAGAGAGTCGGAGAGACAGAAAAAAAGAACCTTCATCTGTCCGCAGATTCACTCCCAAAGTGGCCACAACAGCCAGAGCTGAGCCGATCCAGAGCCAGGAGCCAGGTCTCCCACGCGGGTGCAGGATCCCAAGGCTTTGGGCCGTCCTCCACTGCTTTCCCAGGCCACAAGCAGGGAGCTAGATGGGAAGTGGAGCAGCCGGGATTAGAACCGGCACCTGCATGTGATGCTGGTGTAGCAGGTTGTGCCTTTACCACTAAGGCAGTGCTGGCCCCATATTTTCTCTCTTCAAAAAGATTTGACTTAGTGTAACATATTCAGATTTTACCAAGCTGGGTAGTAGGCATGGGTGCAGATAGTTAGAACTTACTGTACTTTTTCTAAATGTTTAAATTTTTTATTAGATATAAAATGAGATATTGCAGAAAGGCATAAAAAAGTAAAAATAGCCCATAATCACACAATCAAAAAAAAATAATAGGGACCCAACATGATGGCCCAATGGCTAAATCCTTGCCTTGCAAGCACCGGGATCCCATATGGAACGCCAGGATCCCATATGGGTGCCAGTTCATATTCCAGATTCTCTACTTCTGATCCAGCACCATGCTTGTGGCCTGGGAAGATATTAGAGAATGGCTCAAAGCCTTGCGCCCTGGACACGCATGGGAGAACAGGAGAAGTTCCTGGCTCCTGGCTTCGGATTGGCTCAGCTTCAGCTCAGCTTCAGCCATTGTTGCCATTTGTGGAGTAAACCAGCCACCGACAGAAGATCTTTCTCTCTGTATCTCTCTCAGGCTGCAAATCTGCCTTTACAATAAACAAATCTTTTTAAAAGATAATATATATTAATGCTTTCAAGTATCTAAACTTTGTTTTCTAAGAATACATAGATGTGGACCTGGCACAGTAGCCTAGTGGCTGAAATCCTCATTTGACATGCACCGGGATCCCACATGAGGACCTGCTTGTGGCCTGGGAAAGCAGTGGAGGACGGCCCAAAACCTTGGGACTCTTGTACCCACATGGGAGACCTGGAAGAAGCTCCTGGCTCCTGGCTTCAGATCAGCTGAGCTCCGGTCGTTGTGGCTATTGGGGAGTGAACCAGCAGAGGGAGGAACATTATCTCTCTCACTGTGCTGTAATTTTATTTTCAATAAAAATTAATAAATTGTTTTTTACAAAATACATAGATGTGCATATACATTTTTAAAGAAAAAAGCTTCTCTTTTAATTTTTTTGATCTTGGCAGATTTTTCAGGTCTATGTAGAGCCACACAAAAATTTTAATGACTTCATAATTTTCCTTAATATGGCTGAGTAATATATATATATTTATTTAAAGATTTATTTATTTTTATTACAAAGTCAGATATGCGGAGAGGAGGAGAAACACTGAGGAAGATCTTCCATCTGATGATTCACTCCCCAAGTGAGCGCAACGGCCAGTGCTATGCCGATCCGAAGCCAGGAGCCTCTTCCGGGTCTCCCACGAGGGTGCAGGTTCCCAAAGCTTTGGGCCGTCCTCGACTGCTTTCCCAGGCCACAGGCAGGGAGCTGGAAGGGAAGCAGGGCTGCCAGGATTAGAACCGGCGCCCATATGGGATCCAGGGTATGCAAGGCGAGGACCTTAACCACTGCGCCACTGCGCCACCGCGCTGGGCCCAGTAATATACTTTTAAAATGCTACTTTTGAGAGGAAAGAGAAACAGCCAACTCCCATTTGTGAGTTCACCTATCAGATTCCCACTGGTTAGGTCTGGGCCTAGGCTGAGGCCAGGAGAGAGAACTCAGTACAGGCCCCACCCGGGAAGACCCCAGGTACTTGCAGAGTCATTACTGTTTCTCAGGGTCTGCATTTCCGGAAGTTTCAAGTCAAAGGCTGAACTTGGCATTCAACCCAGACACTCCCAGGGGGGTAGCAGGCTCTCAGCTAGCATGTGGACCGTTAGGCTAATGTCTGCCCCCAGTGTCAACTTACTGGCTGCTATCGATGCGTATCTGAGTTGTTTGTGATTTTTTGCAATTATGTCTCAGCTAAAACACACACACACACACCTATATATATATATATATTTATCCTTGGTTATTAAGGAAATTCCTAGATATAAAAATTAGGGTAAAAAAAACTATTTAAAAATAAGCCTTTTTTCACTTTTTTTTTAATCACAGCCGGATTGAGGTGTAGTTCACATAAAATTCACCATCAGTTTAGTAGGTCTGAGTTGGGCAGCTGTCACTGCTGTCTTATTTTTGGACATTGTCGCCCCTGTAAACCCATCAGCAGCCACTTCTCAGTGGCTCTGACCCCTTCCCAGCCCTTGACAACCATTTGGGGAATGAACCAGCAGGTAGATCATCTCTGTCTCTCTCTCTCTCTCTGCCTTTTAAGTAAACAAATAAGAATTTATTTGTTTAGAAAAGTTAGTGTTATATCCATGTATCAATACTTCATCACTTCCTTATTTGGGCCTGACATGGTAGCCTAGTGGCTAAAGTCCTTGCCTCACATGCGCCGGGATCCCATATGGGCACTGTTCTAATCTTGGCAGCTCCACTTCCCACCCAGCTCCCTGCTTGTGGCCTGGGAAAGCAGATGAGGGCAGCCCAAGGCCTTGGGACCTTGCACCTGCGTGAGAGACCCAGAAGAGCTTCCTGGCTCCTGCCTTCGGATCGGCTCAGCTCAGCTCCGGCCATTGCAACCGCTTAGGGAGTGAGTCCTCGGACGGAAGATCTTCCTCTGTCTCTCCGCCTCTCTGTATATCTAACTTTCCAATAAAAATTAAAATCTTTAAATAAAAATCTTTGCAAGGCAGAGTTCTATAGGAAGAAAGTTCTATCCTCAATCAGAGCCAGCAGGCCAAAGTCAGGGGCCAGGAATGCCAACCAAAGTCTCCCAGGGGCGTGTAGGGCCCAAGGAGTTGAGCCATCTTTCGCTGCTTTTCCAGACACTTAGAAGGGAGCCTGATTGGAAGTGGAGCAGCCAAGGGCTTCAAGCTGGTGCTCATGTGCAATGCTGGTATTGTAGATAGTGTCTACCCATTAAGCTACAATGCGGGCCCCAGCAACTGCTTTCTGCTGTCGTATTATCTGCCCTCTGTGTTAGCAGGAAAGTCTTTCTAACCTAGCCTTTCCCCTACAGCAGTAACAGCCAGATGAAGAAGCGGCCGACATCAGCAGTGGGCTACAAGAGGCCTATCAGCCAGTATGCTCGGGTTGCCATGGCAATGGGGTCCCACCCCAGGTACAGGGTAAGAAGCTGTGGAGTGGGAGGGAGTGTCCGCAGCCCCTGCTCCCTCTAACCGCCTACCCTCACACACCCGAGTTTGTGGGGTGCTTGCCAGTTCAACGTGGGGACTGCTGCTCACCAGGGGTATGGTACTCATCTCCCAGGCCGAGAACATCATGTTTCTGGAGCTGGACGTGTCCCCCCCAGCTATCTTTGAGATGGAATTCTCCCAGGACCAAGAACAAGACCCTCGTGCACTGCACATGGAGAGGCTCATGCGATTGGACAGCTTGCTGGAGAGACCATCCACGTCAAAAGTCAGGAAGTCCAGATCCTGGTCAGTATCACAGCCAGCGGGAGGCAGGGGAGCTTCCGATAGTCCCTGGGGAGTATGGGGACCAGCCGTGAACAGCTCCAGGTGGAGGGAGAGAAAGGCGGGTGATTTTTTCTGTTGCCTGCGTATTAAGCCTCCGCATCCTGCAGGTGCCAGAGTCCACAGCGGCCCCCGCCTTCCACCGCACATGCCCCGATGGCCTCAGCCTCTGCCTCTGCGCGCCCCACGACGCTGGTGGACCATGAGTGACAACCTGCACTGGCACTCTGCCCATCAAATGGACTCCTGGGGTGGGGCAGCCAAGTCGGGCCCACCCAGCTCGTGTGCCGCTTGGTGCGTGTGCGTGTGCGTGCATGTGCGCGGTAGATGTGTGCGGGGGCAGGGATGCAGCAGGTGAAGTTTCCACCTGCCCTTCTTTGTCCCCTTTATTTAATTCATGTTATTTATTCGTACGGGGGGAGGTGCCCTCGCCTGCGCCATCCTGCCCTGCCCCGAGGCCTCCTTCCCTCTGGGACTTCAGACCCAAGTCAGACCTCAGCTCCTCCCCGCACCTGCTGCCCTAGAAGGCAAAGTGGCCAGTGCCTCTGAGAACAGTACCTTCACTGCTGGCCCCGTCTGGGAGCTCACCTCCTGCTCTGCTGGTGGAGAGCAGCCACTAAGCACCACCTGGGACTTGAAGACCACGGGGTGTCTACTGAGGGCCAGTGGCTGTGGGCTGCTCCAGGCCCAGCGCCCCGCCCTCCAGCTCCTCTTCCACCCTCTTGGGATGTTTCAAGGACTGAAGTGACCTCATCAACACGCAGCACCTGCTCCTTGGCCTGGGGGCACAGACTCACTGTTTCTGCAGCTGTTTCCTGCCCACCTCCCGCCCCCTGGTTTCAAGTGGAAAACACACCACCTGAGGCCCAGCAGGGGGTGTTCCTCTAGGGATGGCACTTCTCAGTCCCTCTGGGGAACTCCGCTCGGCAAGCCACAAGCCAGCTCCCCAGATCTGACACAACTCTTTCCTGTTTTCTTCATTTTTTTTTTTCCCTGCCTGCAGCTGTGAGGGCCCAGTTCCCAGCGGGAGGGATCCAAGCCATCCTACCCCTGGCTCAACAAAACATACCATCTGTGGCTCTTCCTCTCACTTGGTGCGGCAAACGGACACCCAGCTTGTCCTTTCAACCCTCCTGTTTCTGAATCCCATTTGGTTGAAAACCAGCCCTTTCTTGGCCAGTTGTGCAAATCAAGCCCTAGGCTGAGACCCTCCCTCCTCTGGGATGGCCCCAATATACCTCCAGACATCTTGGGTGGCAGGACAATTCCCACCAAAAAGGAAAGCTGAGTTGCACTGACTCCGTGTCCGGTGTCAGTTCTAGTGGAGTGAGCAAATGCCGTCATAAAGGCAAGGCCTTGAGGTAGGGCAGCGTCCACTTCCTGAAGGCTGAGGAACTCAGTTTCTGGGGTCCATACAGAGCTGTGAGGGTCTGCCTGACTTCTGCTGTGCCGGGGGATTCTTCCAAGAGGAAAGCGCACCATTCAAGCTCGCCTCCGGGATTTAGCTCACCACTGCTGTCATTTCCGCCATGACTGCTGGGCCAGACGGTGAGGCTTCCACCAGAGTCCCTGAGAGCTGATGTGAGACCCAAGATCGGATCAGAGGTGCAGCTGGGGCTGGAGTAGCAGTTGTGTGCCCAAAGGGTACCGCGCCCCCACCAGCAGCCTTGGGCACAGAGACCTCCGGGGCTGCTGTGTAGCAACCTCTGCCACCGACCTCTTCTGCATTTGTGAACAAAGCACGTGTCACACCTTCCTGCACCGCCCCCATCACTTGGACACATCGACTCCACATTGTCTGGTCACTGGTCCCTCACAGTCTTAGAGCACAATGCCCCCAACCACACCACCCCCAGGCCCAGGGCGAGGCCCGGCGTTGGGTCAGAGGAGGAGTTTCTGCCTGCAGTTTTGTGTACATGTGTGTATGTGTGTGCGTGTGTTTGCGTGTGCATTTGCTTCCACAGGGGACACTCCGCACTCAGCGTAAGACATGCTGGGAGCCAGTCCACCCAACGTGGCTGGATCTCAGCTCTGTCTCCTACCCCCCTCTTCCTTTTGATGTATCAAACATTTGGTTGACAGAGTAAGGGCCTTGATTAGGACCAAATTTCTGTGTCTGTTGCTATGGTCTTTATTTAGGATGACAGTTAATGCAGTGCCCCCTCCTGTCACTCTATACATATGACTATAAGGGACATATGTAATATATAAATATATATATAAAGCGTTACTTCCTGTCCCCTCGGCCGAGGGCGGAGGCCTCCCTGTGGAGCTGAGCTGCACCTGTGCTGGGTGCAGCCCACAGCCTGCGGGCCCCAGCCCTGTTCAAGTTAACACAGTTGACAATAAAGGAATGAGTATTGTTGCGAGTCGGTTTCTGGCCTTTGTTCCTTCCTACTTTTACTCCCTGGTTTTGCGTGTTCTCCCGTCTCTCTTCCTTGTTTTTTCCAGCAGGGATTTCAGGGAGTTTGGCAGCCAGCCACAGCTATCAGTAGCTCAGAAAAGAACTGGCTGGTAAATACAGAGGGACCTGTCTGGCTCTGAGGACTGAGTGGCAGGCCCCAGGCTCATGTCTGTGCCAGGGCTATGCCCGCAGCTGTGTGTGCTGCAGCCTTGCAGTCCCCAGCCAGCTGACACTGAGCTCAGAACTGCCGAGGTGGTGTCAGTCTCACGCTGCCCTCTGCTCCTCGTGTGTGAAAGTATCTCCTCCAGCAGGAAATCCCGCACACGGAGCCCACAGCCTGGGGCACCTGCCACGGGTGCTCCCACTGGATGCTGACCTCCAAGGCCTTGCTGCTCAATGTCCTCTTTTTCCAGGATCTTTCCTCCTCCATCCTAGTTCTAGCTGTCCGCTTCTGCCATTGTAAAGATCTGAACAGTAAATGAAACATCCTCACTATTAAAAAGCAAAATTCCAGCTCCCAGTGGGGCACTGAGGCCCAGCTAGTACAGAGTCAACTACTGTGACTGTTGGAGGGGGCTGCCTGCACCTGCGCCAGGCTCTGCCCCCAGGCTCTAACCAGGGGCTGCTGTGGCTGGAGTCACCAGGTGTTGCGTGTGCTGCCTTACAGACACACACAAACACACAGCTCATTTTCCCTCCCAGCTGTAAATCACCGCCATGGATTTGCACACCTGAGTTACGGAAACAAGCGTGTTTAGCTGACGGCAGTTGGCAGTGAAGTTGGGCTTGAAGACCGCAGAGTTTATTTCTCCACGCCTCACAGTCCAAACCTGGGGAAGCCACGCAGGCGGGGCAGGCGGGGAATGGTGCAGGGCAGAGTGAAGTATCTCAGCTAGCTGCTTGGGAGTAAGAGTAGCTTAGCATGCCCTTGCCTGGGGCCACTGCGTGGCTGGGAAAGGTTATCATCTTAACTGTGAGGAGACCAGGACCCTGATCCACACAGGGCTTAGGGCTGCAGGTGTCTTGCCTAGGACCTCAGGCATAAGGAAATGTTCACTAAAGTGACCTTGGGGCTGGCATTGTGTCACAGTGGGTTAAACAGCTGGCAGGAACATCTACATCTCACATCTGAGTGCCAGTTGGAGTCTTGGCTGTTCCGCTGCTGCTCTGGCTTTCTGCTAATGTGCCTGGGTAGGCAGCAGAGCATGGGCCGAGGACTTGGACTCCTGCCACCCACAAGAAGACCCAGATGGAGCTGTAGGCTCCCAGCTCAGGCCTAGCCCAGCCCTGGCTGTAACAGCCATCTGGGCAGTCAATCTGTGGATGGAAGATCTCTTTCTCTTTCCCTTTCTGCCTCTAACTCTGCCTTTCAAATAAATCATTTTTTTAAAGATTTATTTATTTTTATTGCAAAGTTGCATATACAGAGAGGAGGAGAGACACTGAGGAAGATCTTCCGTCCAATGATTCACTGCCCAAGTGAGCGCAACAGCCAGTGCTGCGCTGATCCGAAGCCAAGAACCAGGAACCTCTTCCAGGTCTCTCACACGATGCAGGGTCCCAAAGCTTTGTGCCGCCCTCGACTTCTTTTCCAGGCCACAAGCAGGGAGCTGGAAGGGAAGTGGGGCAGCCGGGATTAGAACTGGCACCCATATGGGATCCCGGCATGTTCAAGGCGAGGACTTCAGCCTCTAGGCCACGCCGCCAGGCCCTCATTTTTTTTTTTTTTTTTTTTTTAAGATTTTTTTTTTTAATTGGAAAGGTAGATTTACAGAGGGAAGAAGATATGGAGAGAAACATCTATCCTCTGGTTGACTCCCCAAAATGACTGCAACAGCAAGAGCTGAGCTGATCCAAAGCCAAGAGTCAGGAGCTTTTTGGGGGTCTCTGTCATGGGTGCAGAGACCCAAGGCTATGGGCCATCCTTATCTGCTTTCCCAGGTCACAAGCAGGGAGCTGGATGGGAAGTGGAGCAACTGGGGCATGAACTGACACTCAATTGGGATCCCGATGCTTGTGAGGGGAGGATTAGCCAGTTGAGCCACTGCACCATGACCTTTGAACAAATCTTCAAACAAACAAAAGCTGGCCTGGGAAAAGAAAGGGCCCTAGGTCAGAACAACACTGAGACCCCTGTGTTTCACACACTTCTCCTTTCTGAGGCCTGTGCTCTTCTGGTAACTGTGGAATAGCCAGGACTCAAACTGTCACTAGGACACAGGATGTGGCCCAACCAAGAGGCAGCTTAATATGCCACACTACAATTTTCACCACACAACAGCTTTAAATTTAAATATATATATGTATCTCATATATTTGAAATAGATCTTCCATCAACAGGTTCACTCCACAAACAGCTACAATGGCTAGGGCTGGATGAGGCCAAAGCCAGGAGTTTCTTTGGGGTCTCCCACATGGATGCAGGGGCACACACACTTGGACCATCCTTTCCCAGGCACATTAGCAGGGAGTTGGATTGTAGAGCAGCCAGGACTAGAACTGGCGCCCATATGAAACGCTGGTGTTGCAGCGCCACCCCTCCTTTGGTATTCTTGGTCAGCATATCCATCAGCCAGTGTGAGTCAAGATTTTGATCTGCATTTATTCTGTTTCACTGGCCAATAGTCCTTTGTTCTTACCACAGGGTCCAAGAATTCCCTGCATTCAAATCACCCTGAGAGACTTGCCTTTTGTTTGGGCCAGAAGCAGCTGCGGGTTGCTGGACACTGGGAGTGACCCACCTCGTATCCACTCTTCTCTCCCTTCTTCCCTCCTTAAGAAATGCTTCCATTCAAGGAGGGCAGCGCACCCAGGGAGAAGCCCTCATATCTCCAAACTCCCACCGCCGCGTGAAGCCGTGCATCTTTGTCGTGGTTAAGGATGCTCCGTGGAGACCTGCTAAGGATATCTGGATAAGTGTCTACTTTCCTCATAGGGATTTCTCCCATCTCCCCTCTTCCTTTTTCTGTCCAGAACTCAGCTTTATTTTCTGGGGGTGTATTCATTCATTCAATAAATAGAGTACCTGTAATCTGCGAAAATAGCAGACAGAAATCTCAGTGTGTGGTGCTTATGTTCTAGGGTGGGCAGAAAAGCACTGCCTGTCGGAGGGTGATACGAGCAGACAAGAACAATGATGCCAGGTGATGAGGTGTTCCGGATCCAAGTGCGACAATGCTCACTGAGAAGGTGACATTGAGCAAAATCCAGAAAGAGACCAGGAAGTAGATTCTGCAGACGTCTGAAGAAAGAGGACCCCAGGAGAGGGAAGAGTAAAATTGGTCTCCGCGCATCAGGCTGGCTGGAGGAGTGGCAGCCATAATGCAACGCTGAGGCAACAAGTACAACCTGTAAGGGCTGACTGTGTGGGAAGGACAGGGAAACGCAGCCTCCTAGCAGGGACTGGGTTGCGTCAGCCTAGGTCTGTCCGCTTCTGATGCCGGCAAACCAGTGTGAGTTTAAGCCAGTGCGGGCGGGGTGGGGTGGGATAAGCCAAGAATCTCCCTTTCAGTGACTCCTCTCTGAAGTCTGAGCATGTCAGATCTACCCCTTCGCCATGCTGAGCCATGCCCATGCAAGTGCCAGCCTCGGGCCAGTCAACTGGGTAGACCCCAGGACTCCCTGCTCAGCCACAGATCTCTTCTCACTGCCAGGTTTGGGAAGGACAGGCCGCTGGTGTGGTTGGATGAGAGAACCGCAGTGATTATCTTTGCCTGCCCTAAGCTCTTATTTCACAATTAGGAAAGGCAAGCTAGAAAAAGGAAAGTGACTTCCATCACACAGATGGTCAACAGACAAGCTGGGCCTGGAGGACGTAAGTAAGGGTTACTATCAGGCACGCTGTGTGTGTTTTCTGATTTTTTTTTTTTTTCAAAGAACGATGCAAGACTCGGCAGTCACCTCGGCATCTTGGCGAGCTCTGTACTTCACTTTCAAAGGGGGGAAGCCACTAGCCTAGTGCAGTAACCTACCAACTAAAGCCCTCACTTTGAAATGTGCTTAGATCCCATATGGGTGCTGGTTTGTATCCCGGCAGTCCCACTTCCCATCCAGCTCCATCCAGCTCCCTGCTCGTGACCTGGGAAAGTAGTCAGATGGCCAAAGCCTTGGGCCCCTGCACCCATGTAGGAAACCTGGAGGAAACTCCTGGCTCCTGGCTTTAGTTTTGCTCAGCACTGACCATTGTGGCTACTTGGGGAGTGAACCAGCAGATAGAAGATCTTTCTCTCTGTCTCTCCTTTACTCTGTAAATCTGACCTTTCCAATAAAAATTAATAAATCTTAAAATAAAAAAGGATGTGTAGGATTTGACAGGTGCATGTGTTATTGACTGTAGTAAAAATACAACAAAAAAGGACAACCTTTCCAACTTGTGTCATTAGTAAGTGATCAAGTAGACCTCCACAAAGAGGTGGGATCTCCACAGATCCAGAGTAGAGGCAGGCAGAGCAGTTGCGTAGCCTGTGGGTTAAGACACTGTCACCGCACATCAGAGTGCCTGGGTGTCATTGCCAGCTCCAGCTTCCCACCAAGGCAGCCCCCTGAGATGCAACAGTGACGGCTGAAGCAACTGCGTTTCTGTGAGTTATGTGGGAGAGTCAGGTTGAGCTCCTGGCTCTGGCATGGGTCCTATAAGCAGTGAACCTGTAGGTGGAAGATTCTCTCTCTCTCTCTCTCTCTCTTTCTCTCTCTCTCTCTCTCTCTGCCTTTGAAAAATTATTTATTTAAAGGGCAGAGGATGGGGAGTGAGTGAAGGGAGCAAGGGATCTTCTAGGTGCTGGCTCACTCCCCAGATGGCTGCACCAGCCAGATCTGAGCCCGAACTAAGCCGGAGGCAGCAGTTCCAATAAGGTCTCGCAAATAGGTTGCACTGCCTGGGTGTCTTAACAGAAAGCAGATTGAAAGCTAAATCACCGAGATCCAGACCAGCACTCTGCTAGGGAATGTTTGCATGCACC